TTATGGGAACAAATTCGGTCAGTACTGGCACCTGAACATACTTCTGGAGTGAAAAAATATCGTTAACCGGGGGTCCACTGTATTTTTGTGAAGGTAATAAGACAAAAAAAAAAAAATTCTGATCAGTACTTACCGAGATACAGCGGGGGGGAAGTTGACCCAAAATGACTGGGTGGCGGCAACATCAGTGACTTCTGCAAAAACCCATTTTTTTATTTTACGTTTTTTATACTTTTTTCTTTTCTTTTCTATTTTTTTTCTTTTTCTAATAACATTTGTGGCCTGTGAGACCAGTATAATGTATATTGTGTAAGTGTACACTCATGTATTCAACACAATAACTGCACTAATTTATCATTATATTGCTTACAAAGCTTGTTTACAAGTTTATTGCAAACAAAATGATGAAAATATTAGTGTGGTTATTGTGTTGAATGCAACGGTACCATATGGTACAATGGTGCCATAAGGTGCAATTGTTCCATATGGTACAATGGCAACATATGATACAATGGTACCATATGATAATGGTACCATATGGTACAATGGCACCATTTGGTACAATGGTACCATATGATACAATGGTACCATATGGTGCAATGGTACCATATAGTGTAATGGTACCATATGATGCAATGGTACCATATGGTACATTGTACCATACAGTACAATGATACCATATCATTCATTGTACCATATGGTACTGTTGTATTCAACACAAACACTAATATTTTCATTATTATTTTGTTTACAATAGTTGTTTACAACAAAAATATGCAAAACTGTTGTATATTAGTAATGTTCTATTATATATTTACAAGTGTACAGGAACCTGAGGTGTTCCTTGAGGTGGATGACAAAGCACTTTGTCTAGGAAACTGCAGAGTCAGTAGCTAGCTTGCGTCGCCACTCACTCAGTCTTGGCTGGTGTCTCATGCCACCAACACCTATTGACCATATGGTACATGGTATCATATGTTACAGGGTACCATATGGTACATGGTATCATATGTTACAGGGTACCATATGGTACATTGTACTATATTGTATAGGGTACCATGCAGTACAGGATAACATATGGTGCAGGGTACCATATGGTGCAGGGTACCATATGGTGCAGGGTACCATATGGTACAGGGTTACCATATGGCACAGGGTACCATATGGCACAGGGTACCATATGGCACAGGGTACCATATGGTACAGGGTACCATACAGTACAGGACACCATATGGTACAGATACAGGAATAACTATTGAAATAAGTCACCCTGACTTTTTTGGGTTATCCTAAGATTTTATATGTATGCTGCTATGTATGATAATCTACGTAATTGTATTTCTGTACACCTGAATAAACTTACTCAAGTGCATGTGGCATCATAAGTAAGTTTATTTAGTTATACACAAATAAAGTTACATAGAATATTATACTTAGCAGCATATGTTTGGAGAACCTAGGATAACCCAAAAAAGTCAGACAGACTTATTTCCATTAGGGTCCCTGTACCCTGTACCATATGGTATAATGTACTATATGGTACATTGTACCATATGGTACATTGTACCATATGGTACCATTGTACCATATACCATTGTATGACATGGCACCATTGTACCATATGGCACCATGGTACCATATGGTTCAAAACCATAGAATTCGTCTTCATCTCCACTTCCATCAGTCTTAGAACTGTAAGTTGTGAAGAGAGTCAGAATTCGCCCGGAGAGTGAGTGGGGAGTGAGAGCTTCCTTGCCACCAGGCTCAATGAACAAAGCTACTTTGCCAGCGTTCCCACAATGCCATGTGGGCGTCCAGATTTTTTCTATGGTGTGCACACTGACCACCCAGACCCATTCTCTCAGATGTAGGCCTACCAGCCTTCTCGTGCTAAATTTGACGCCGCTAGAATTTTGGCGTAGATCTATGGTTTGGACCCTGAACGTAAAGCCGTAGATCTACGGGACGGACCCTGAAAGGGTTAATAATGTATACGGGAAAAGGGGTTACTAGCTCCTTGTTTCTAACATGTTAGTCACCTCTTATGACACACATGGCTTATGAAGAATGAATTCTGTTCCACTTCCCCATGGAGATAAAAGGAAATAAACAAGAACAAAAACTGGTAAGAAAATAGAAGATACCCCAGTGTGGTGTGTGTATATATATGCTTGTACATGCAAGTGTAATGTAATCTAAGTGTAAGCAGAAGTAGCAAGAATTACCTGAAATCTTGCATGTTTTTTTTTTTTTTCAACAAACCGGCCGTATCCCACCGAGGCAGGGTGGCCCATAAAGAAAAACAAAAGTTTCTCTTCTTTAAATTTAGTAATTTATACAGGAGAAAGGGTTACTAGCCCCTTGCTTCCAGCATTTTAGTCGCCTCTTACAACGCGCATGGCTTACGGAGGAAGAATTCTGTTCCACTTCCCCATGGAGATAGGAAATAAACAAGAACTAGAAAGAAAATAGCAGAAAACCCAGAGGGGTATGTGTGTGTATATGTACGCTTGTACATGTATGTGTAGTGTGACCTAAGTGTAAATAGAAGTAGCAAGACATACCTGAAATCTTGCATGTTAATGAGAAAAAAAAAAAGACACCAGCAATCCTACCATCACTCGCTTGGCAGGACAGTACAGTAGTACCTCCCTGGGCAGTTGCTGTCTAACAACTTACTACCTATGGTTGGGAACCTAAGATCCTTAAAAATGGGGCCCTCTTGTACTTTCTTTATGCACCCTGAAGTAAAGTTTTTATGTATTGTTGATTTTTTCAAGTTTTATTATTCTTAGCTCATTTCCTTTTGTTTCACTGAATTTAATTAAATCATACAACTTAATCCTTTCAGGGTTGGTGTTGTACTAGTACAGCTTGCACACCAGGGTTGGTGCCATACTAGTACGCATAAATTCTAGCACCTTCAAATCTAGCAAGAGAAAGCTGGTAGGCCTACATATGAAAGAATGGGTCCATGTGGTCAGTGTTTATGGTATAAAAAAAATCCTGCAGCACACAGCACATAATGAGAAAAAAAACTCCATGTTTCTGGTTTAAAACAGCGACTTTGCAGTGTATTTGCGTATACTATTTATGGTTGTATTCTAGTTTTTTTGGTCTCGTTTTATAGAATGGGAAACATATTATGGAAATTGAGATGATTTTGATTGGTTTCATAATGAAAAGTACCTTGAAATTGAGCTCAAAGTAGCAGAAATGTTAAATTTTTGCCAAAGCTCAAAGGTAAACAAATCATGTCACGCGTCCGATACATGTCAACTGGTGAGTGTAATATTCTTTCACAAGTGCCCTGATATCATTTATACCATTTCTACACCATTTCTACACTAATGTGGTAGTCTGCATAACATAAATCTTCTATTTTTTTGTGAGAATAAAAATTCAAAGTGGAAAGCAAAAGAAATGTAACAGAGGCCTGGGGACATGAGTAATGAATAGAGGAAATGTTATTTTAGTGCCAGAAATGTCTGTCTTGTTTATTTTGGACCCTATTTGGAAATTAGCATCTTCTGAAATTTGATTGAAATTGGCAAAATTACCAGCACACAGTACATAATGAGAAAAAAAAAAACTCCATTAGTGTTTTTGGTTTAAAACAGCGACTTTGCAGTGTATTTTCGTATGCTATTTATGGTTGTATTCTAGTTTTCCTGGTCTCATTTTATAGAATGGAAGACATATTACAGACATTGAGATAATTTTGATTGGTTTCACAATGAAAAGTACCTTGAAATTGAGCTCAAAGTAGCAGAAATGTTCAATTTTTACATAAGTTCAAAAGTAAACAAATCATGCCACTCATCCAATACACGTCAACTAGTGAGTCTAATATTCTTTCACAAGTGTGCTGATATTATTTATACCATTTCTACACTAATGCAGTAGTCTTCTATTTTTTGTGAGAATAAAAATTCAAAGTGGAAAACAAAAGAAATGTAACAGAGGCCTGGGGACATGAGTAATGAACAGAGATGTTATTTTAGTGCCAGAAGTGTCTGTCTTGTTTATTCTGGACCCTATTTGGAAATTGGCATCTTCTGAAATTTGATTGAAATTGGCAAAATTGCCAATTTCTGACCACGTTATTGGATAGTTGAAATTGGTAAATGGTGGTTTCTTGTACTCATTCGATAGAAAAAATGGAGTTCTAGCAAAATAGGTATGATTTTTGTTGCCTGTTACATAGGAATTGGCCGAAAATAGGGCTCAAAGTGGGCGAAATCGCCGATGCGTAAACATCGTCAAGACCATTAATTTTGTGAGAGCATAATTCCGTAAGTTTTACATCAAATTTCATACTTTTGGTGTCATTATGATCGGGAAAAGATTAGCATTTCATGAGAATCCCCCCCCCCCCCTTGAAAAATTTCTGAGCCTGAGAACAAGTTCAGGAGAGGGCCTGCCGACCCTGAAAGGGTTAAGCTATTTTTTTTAAATTGCATGCTGTTAACAGCTTAGAATGTTAATTTTTGTGATAGACATGTGCAATTTTCATTGTGTTTCCAAATAATCACAAAACATTGGGACACCATCTTGTATACTCTCCACACCTGCTGTTACTGTATTAATATAGGAAAGAATCTATCTTCTGTCATCTCTGCCAAATGGGAAAGGATACTGTCAGCTTCATATGTTCACTAATTTTCTTTATCTTGTCCCTTGATCACTTCTTTCTTAATATATCTTATTTTGCAATACACTATTATTCAATGGAATATTTCCTTCACCCTCCCCCCCCCCCTCTTCCCTACAAGAAAACCTATTGACCTTTTTAATGACATGCCACTTGTAGACATAAATGTATAAATATCCTAGCAGGTATTTATAATTATATGTTCAGTAAACAAAAGTTTAACTGAAGCTTTTAGGGTACCTCTTGACTTCTTATCTAACAATTAATGTGATTTACCCACTGTATTTTTGTTGTCTAAACTGTTATACAGTTAAGATAAACGTATATCTTTTATCATTTTTTTCAGTTGGTGACTATTGAAGCCATTGAGTTAGAATCAGGTAATGAGCTTGGGGAGCAGGGTGTGGTAGTGGAGCTTCCATTCCAATCTGGCACAATCCTTTCACTTGCTGTTTATCGTTTTGAAAGACGAGATGGAGGCATGGCTCTTCGTGCATTTGTTACCTGTTCAGATCATGCACTTCACCTTATAAGCAGTGCAGGTATGTTCAGAATTTATTTATATATTTTGGTGCATATGTTTGGGTGTATGAAGGTAGAAAGTTGACAGTGAATATAGATAAGAGTAAGATGATGAGGGTATCCAATGATTTAGTTAAAGAAAAATTGGATATCACATTGGAGAGAGGGAGTATGGAAGAAGTAAATGTTTTCAGATATTTGGGAGTTGACTTGTCAGCTGATGGATTTATGAAAGATGACATTAACCATAGAATTGATGAAGGAAAAAGGGTGAGTGATGCATTGAGGTATCTGTGGAGACAAAAAAAAAACATTATCCATAGAGGCAAAGAAGGGAATGTACGAAAGTATAGTGGTACCAACACTCTTATGTGGGTGTGAAGCTGGGGTTGTAAATGCTGCGGCGAGGAGGCAGCTGGAGGCGCTGGAGATGTGTCTAAGGGCAATGTGGGGTTTAAATATTATGCAAAGAATTCAGAGCGTGGAAATTAGGAGGTGGTGTGGAGTTACTAAAATTATTAGTCAGAAGGCTGAAGAGGGGTAGTTGAGGTAGCTTCATCATTGAAAAAGAATCAAACAAAGTAAAATGACTTGGAGCAAGTATAAATATGTAGGGGAAGGAAGGCGGAGTAGGGGTCGTCCTAGAAAAGGTTGGAGGGAGGGGGTAAAGGAGGTTGTGTGGATGAGGGGCTTAGACTTCCAGTAAGCATGTTATGTAGGAGTGAATGGAGACGAATAGTTTTTGGGACTTGACGAACTGTTGGAGTGTGAGTAGGGTAACATTTTATGAATGATTCAGGGAAACCGGTTAGCTGGACTTGAGTCCTGGAATTGGTAAATACAATGTCTGCACTTTAAAGGAGGGGTTTGAAATATTAGCAGTTTGGAGGGAGTTCTAAACTGTCATATCTGAGTGCCTCTGCAAAGACAGTGATTATGTGTGAGTGATGGTGAAAGTGTTGAATGATGATGAAAATATTTTTCTTTCTTTTTTGGTCACCCTGCCTTGGTGGAAAACAACCGATGTGTTAAAAAAAAAAAAATGTTTGAGTGATTATGTATGAATGATGGTGAAAGTGTTGAGTGATGAAAGAATTTTTTTAAATTTTGGGTCGTTCTTTCTTTTTGGGTAACCCTACCTCGGTAGGAAATAGCCAACATATTAAAAAATAGTTTAACAAATTTATATATGGTATATAGTAATGTAACCACGAATGAGTGGTATTTAATCAATAACAACACTGCGACTAGCCAGGTGGTCGAACCTCTATTGTTTTAGCTCGCCTCATGGTGAGCGAAAATTCATGACGCTCTAACCCACTGAACCATACAATCCTATAAAGATCACACACCCAGCAGAGCTAGGTGTTGTTCCGTGACCCGAGGACATACGATGGTGTGGATGCTTCAGAGCTAATTTCATTCTACTCCCTGTTTGATGTACTAGCCTCCACAAGCAGAGAACATACAGAGAACAAATGTATCAACATTTGAAATGTTATAAATGTTGCAAAGGTGACATTAAAACAATAGCAAAGATGGTTGACACAAACTCAGTACCGTTATAGTATGCTCCTCACTTAGCGACAAATTCGTTTAACCCTTTCACTGTCGGTGATGTATAGGTATGGCTTACAAGCCAGTATTGGTGACATATTAATACCCCAAAATTCTAGCGGCTTCAGATCTAGCAAGAGAAAGCTAGTAGACCTATATGTGAGAGAATGGGTCTGCGTGGTCAGTGTACACAGTATAAAAAAATCTTACAGCACGCAGTGCATAATGGGAAAAAAAAACTGCGATTATGTTTTTGTATTAAAACGCCGATTTTGAGGTGTATTTTTGTATGGTATTTATGGTTATATTCTCTTTTTCTTGGTCTCATTTGATAGAATGGAAAATATATTACAGAAATGGAGATGAATTTGATTGGTTTCATGATGAAAAGTACCTTGAAATTGAGCTCAAAGTAGTGGAATTTTTTTTTTTAATTCTTCGACACTGCGAGCAAGTTTGTGAGCAGTGGTCTCGACAGTGAAAGGGTTAATAACGTGGTCTCAGGAGCAGAACTTCATCATTAAGTGAGGAGAGGCTGTATATAGTATTTTAACCATGAACGAATAGTATTTAATCAATAACAACACTGCAACTAGCCGAGGGATCAAACCTGTGTTGTTTTAGCATGGTTAGTGTCTCATGAATTTTCGCTCACCATGATGTGGGCTAAAACAACATGGGTTCGATCTCTCAGCTAGTCACAGTGTTGCTATTGATTAAATACTACTCGTTCATGGTCACAATACTATATATACTACTTGTGGAGGCTAGTGCACCAAACAGGGAGTAGAATGAAATTAGCTCTGAGGCACCCACACCATCGTATGTCTTGGGATCATGGTACAACACCTAGCTCTGCTGGGTGCATGATCTTTGAAGGATTGTATGGCCCAGTGGGTTAGAAGTCATGAATTTTCGCTCGCCATGAGGCGGGCTAAAATAAAACGGGTTCAGTCCCCCTGCTGGCTGCAGTGTTGTTATTGATATATATATTTATGTATTAGTTTTTTTTCTTTTTTTAACATGTTTACCATCTCCCACCAAGGCAGAGTGACTCGAAAGAGAAACACTTTCACTATCATTCACACTATCACTGTCTTGCCAGAGGAGCACAGATATGACGGTTTAAACATCACTACACAGCAGATATATCAAGCCCCTCCTTTAGAGTGCAGGCACTGTACTTCCCACTTCTGGGACTCAAGTTTGGCTAACCAGTTTCCCTGAATCCCTTCACATTCCAATAGCTCATCAAGTCCCAAAAACCAATGTCCCCAAAAATAAATTTTTGACCTAATTTTTTGCTGCATGAAGTGTATAACAGAAAATGGAATTGTTAGGAAAATCCCACCTTTAGTCTCAAAAAACTACTGTACTGTATGTACTATACAGTTATAAACGTACTGTACATGTTAAAATTGTAGTAGAGCAACCAGTGCTATTGCTGCTGGTGACAACCATCCAGAACATGCTATAACATGCATTACAGCCATCCACAATATGCCATTTCATTTCTAATACCAGGGAAGCAAAATCCCTCTTCATGTGCATCAACCTTGAAAACTTTTTCCTTACAGATTTGCAGATTATTTTGAGCTTGGATATAGTGGAGGTTAACCTCATTGGTTACCTTACTACCACTGTGAAGAGAGAGCTTTTTGGCATAGCATATTTTAACAGGATTTTGTATTTATCATTTACTCTCTCTTTTCTTATTAGTAAAGTGCGATACTCATGATTAATGATAGACAGGCTGTTTATGCTGTAATTTCAATTTCAAGCTTAAATGAAACAAAAGCAAGCTGAATATCATTGGAGCCTCAATGTAATGGAGCATGAATACGCTGCTACCCTTGCATTGCAGATCAGCTCAGACAATGAATACTACTGCATTATTGTAATTTTTTTTTTTTTTTTTTTTTTCAACAAGTCGGCCGTCTCCCACCGAGGCAGGGTGACCCAAAAAAGAAAGAAAATCCCCAAAAAGAAAATACTTTCATCATCATTCAACACTTTCACCACACTCGCACATTATCACTGTTTTTGCAGAGGTGCTCAGAATACAACAGTCTAGAAGCATACACATATAAAGATACACAACATATCCCTCCAAACTGCCAATATCCCAAACCCCTCCTTTAAAGTGCAGGCATTGTACTTCCCATTTCCAGTGCATTCATAAATTCATATTAGTGGCCAGATGGATGAATATTGGATGAGCGACGTCATTTGTGTAATCTGGAGTACATCGACAAGAATCGAACATTTCCACTACTTTAAGCTCAATTTCAGGCTACTATCAGTCATGAAACTAGTCAGAATCATCTCTATTTCAGTATCTTCCATTCTATCAAATGAGACCAAGAAACAAAGAATATACCCATAAAAACCATACAGAAATACATTGGACCCCCGGTATTCGATGTCATCGGTATTCGATAAATCCGGTATTCGATGCATTATAACGCAAAAAATTTGCCTCAGTATTCGATTGAAAACCCGGTATTCAATACGATTCATACGAGACCTGTCCATGTGTGGCCTGAACTGCCCCGTGTGTGCCAGTGTTTACAAGCCAGCCAGTGTGGGCGCATCTTAGGATACATTCGGTACATTCCATATTATCCATATTATCACTGTTTTTGGTGCTTCTTTCTGCAAAATAAGTCACCATGGGCCCCAAGAAAGCTTCTAGTGCCAACCCTTCGAGGAAAAAGGCACTAATGACTACTGAAATGAAGAAATAGCTAATTGCAATGTACGAAAGTGGAGTGCATGTGTCGGAGCTGGTCAGGTTGTATAATAAACCCCAATCAACCATCTCTACTATAATGATCAGGAAAACGGCAATCAAGGAAGCTGTTCTTGCAAAAGGTGCAACTGTGATTACGAAACAGCGACCGCAAGTGTTAGAAAATGTTGAGAGACTGTTATTGGTGTGGAAAAAATGAAAAACAGATAGCAGGAGATAGCATCTCTCAAGCGATCATTTGTGAAGAGGCTAGGCAGTTGCATGACGATTTGGTAAAGAAATTGCATGCAACTAGTGCTGATGTGAGTGAATTTAAGGCCAGCAAAGGTTGGTTTGAAAGATTTAAGAATCGAAGTGGCATACATAGTGTGATTAGGCATGGTGAGGCTGCCAGTTATGTTGTGCGACAGAAGTCCAGTGACTCTCAAGCTGGTCCTAGTGGCATTAAAAGAAGGGAAGTAACCCCGGAAAAGGACTTGCTACCTCAAGTCCTAATGGAAGGGGATTCCCCTTCTAAACACTAACACCTCTCCCCTCCTCCCATCCCATCAATCATCACCAGATCTTCATTAAAGGTAAGTGTCAATTATTTTATTGTTATTGTAATTATTCTATTGCATTAAACTTAATATTCCATGTAGTAAAATTTTTTTTTTTCATACTTTTGGGTGTCTTGCACGGATTAATTTGATTTCCATTATTTCTTATGAGGAAAATTGATTCGGTTTTCGATATTTTCGGTATTCGATAAGCTCTCAGGAACGGATTAATATCGAATACCGGGGGTCCACTGTACAGTGGACCCCTGCATTTCGTCAGCCGCGGCTTTCGTGAAATCCGACTTTCGGCAAGTTTTTTCACGAAGATTTAGCTTCGCGGTTTGTGATTGGACTCATGATTCAGAGACCATCTGGTACGCATCCACCGTCAGCATCAACACAAAGCCAGTCACCATTCACACTCAGTGTGCCATTGGTTACCAGCAAGTGACCATCACCCTACGGGTTCATACGGTACATTTCATAATCCATTGTTTTTTGTGCTTGCAACTGATAAATAAGCCACCATGGGCCAAAAGAAAGCTCTTAGTGCCAGCCCATTGCTAAAGAAGGAAAGAAACGATAGAATTCAAGGAAAAACTCATAGCAAAGTACCAAAGTGGAGGAGAAAGAGAGAGGGGAGACTGTGCCTTCTTCAGTGGTTCTACGATATGTACAATACTAAAGCAGCAGGTATCGTTAAAGGCTATACTGCCAGCCAGCGGTAAAGTGTAGAATTAACAGTGTAGCAAGTAAGTTAAGAGAGTAAGTGATAGAAAAACGACACAAAATTAACTCTCCAATGTTGTTGGATGTGTATAGGACCCTGAACATACGCCGCCCTGCTATCTTCCACCACCCTAAACCTCTGCCAGTATCTCCTCCATCAAACTAACTAATTAAACTAACATCTCCTCCAAGGTAAGTGTAAATATAAAAGTGTAAGGATAAAAGTAAATATAAGTGTAAATATAAAAGGACCCCAATGGAAATAAGTCACTCTGACTTTTTTGGGTTATCCTAGATACCTTACACATATGCTGCTATGTATGATAATCTATGTACATAACTCTGTTTGTGTATACCTGAATAAACTTGCTTATTTATAAACTAAAATGTAAATATTTCTTATTTATAAATTAAAATGTAAATACTATTTCTTATTTATAAATTACGTACATTGTGTGAACAGTGGTGGTGGATTCTGCTGCTGCTGCCTCACTACCACTATGTACAGCTTCTCTCAGTGGCCCTTATAAACCCAACAACAACACTCGCACTACTTACTCCTCTCATACATTATGACATATTTTATTTATTCTAGAGTATATATCATGGTTCTATGTTATTAACATTGTTTATTATGTCATATTAGATGAATTGTGATAAATAAGCTGTAGATGATATTAGCATCATATTGAAACACAAACTCACCTCCCTCTCCCTCCTACCTGTCTTCCATGCACCAACAAGAGCCAGTAAAGGTAAGTGTGACGTTAAATGTTCATTTATCCATTTCATTAGTGCTTTATAGTTTTATTTGTATGTTTATGCTCTAACTGTTGTATATTTGAACTCTGCAAAAAACATGATTATTGTGCAGTGTGGTGAAGTGTTGAATGATGATGAAAGTATTTCTTTTTGGGATTTCTTTCTTTTGGTCACCCTGCTCGTGGAGACGGGCCGACTGTTGAAAAAAAAGAAAACAAAAAATTTATTTGTCCACTGTTTTCTGTATGTAAATCTATATTTTATCTCAAAAAAATTATTTTTTTATAACACTTTTGTGTCTGAACAGTATTGGATTTACTTTTTCTATAGGGAATGTTAGCAATCGTGAATTTCGCCATTACAATCTCTGAAGGATTAATCATAAATGGGTCCCTTACACTGTAGAGTGAGTTTACAAAACGTTCAGTCTCATGCACTATGCTAGCAGATTTTTAAATGGTCACAACTTACTACATGACCCATTCTCTCATATTTAGGTCCAAATTTACCCCTCACAGCTTATGAGTGAGTTGAGCTCATGGCATAGTGCTACAGAACAGACACTGGCTTCAAAGCCATTATAACATTTTTAATGGGTCTGCAATGCTTCATGGTTTTAAGGTTAATAACAGCTAAGTTCATTGATGAATACTGAAAAATAACTTTTTTGTGAAAGTTGGTGGAAATATTTTTTTTTTTTATTTATGTACAAAAATTACCAGGTGTTGTTTGGTCCAGAGAGGAGGCATTGGCTTCAGTGATTGCAGTGGAAGCCGTAGACCTTCCTGTAGATGGAGCAAACATTAACTACCAAGAGCAGTTGCCACCTCGAACAGGTAGAGACTCATTTCTTCACTTTGGTTGAAGTCTGAATATTTGTTTTTTGCCTCTGATAAAAAAAGAAGATTAAAAAGCAATTAATTTGTTGTACTTAATTGCATCGTTCTTTGTACAAAATTAAAATAATTTTATACTTTTTCATTTAGTCCTTATGACAATAGAGCTTTAACCAATATGCCTCAGGTGTATCTTTGCCTAATTGGTTTCACTGCTCATAAATCATCATACTTTCATACTATTAAGTTACTGATTAGTTATAGCACAGATCTCATATGTAGTTAACTCTCCAAAATAGTTTTGACTTTGTCAGTTTTTCTGGCAGTTAATAAACAATATTTTTTATTATGTAAATAACATTTTAAATAATTAAATAACATTTTCACTTTTTTGATTAATTTTTTCTTTGATTTATAACTTTTTTTTATTTTGGATTTTGCAAATATTGAGTCATTTTTCTTCAGCATCTACATCAATATTTTATGAAGAGTCATGTAAGTTTGATTAGGTTTGATTTCTTGTTTATGTATTAGCCAACTGTAGCATTTATATATCTGATAAAATTTGGCATATAGCATCTATATCTCCAATTAGAGTATCTAGACTTGCTCTGTGTATTTTTATAGTTGTATTAACTGCTTCATTGTCCAGACCCCTGATCTGAGAATTGCTCTTAATGAATTTTCAAAAAAAAAAAAAAAAAAAAAAAAAAAAAAATCTTGTGAAATGATAGAAAATCTTTTTTCAAAGGTAGTGAAATCAAAAGTACGAAATTTGATGGAAAACTGGCAAAATTACATTTTTGTGAATTTTGCTGTGTCAGCAGTATTTACGCTTTGGCGATTCTGTCCACTTTGAGTCCCGTTTTAGGCCAATTATGTTGTTCCTATTAACCAAATTTTTAGCTATTTTGCTAGCATGACTTCCATTTTATTGATTTAACACAAACTACCCAGTCAACTATTTCAACCAATCACTGAAGTGATCAGAAATTGGTAATTTGGCCAATTTTACACAAATTTCAAAATATTCCTGTTTCAAAATAAGAACCCAGAATAAACAATGCAGACAATCATGGCACTAATGTAACATTTCCTCTGTTCGTTAGTTACATTCCCAGGCTTTACACAGGAATTCCATTTTGAATTTTTATTCACACAAAGACTAAGAGATTTACTGTTATACAATACACACTCTCCTCACTTAACGACGTACTCGTTTACCAATGCCTCAGACTTACGATGGGCTCTCTGACCAGTACTCATACCTAAATAATGTAAATTAGAGCTGATTTCCTCTATTCTGTTTATTTCAATATACAGAACACTACTGTATAAACATTTAAAAATAAAGTATACCAGGAATGTTATAAATGGTGCAAAAGGTGACATTAAAACAATACCAAAGATGGTTGACAAAAACTTACTACCGGCTGGGTTACAAGTATCTTTAGCAGGTTAAATCACTGCCACCAGATGTAGACCAAACGAAATGTAAACTTTGCCAGATGGACTATTGTCACACCCTGCGTCATTATGTACTGGAGTGCGATAAAATTAATGAATTTAGAAACAACTCACTCAGAAGTGTTCAAGAAATGGCTAAGTATTTTATCCACAGTGGTATATTACAGACCATTCTGGAGAAATACCCTGACTTTGCTAGCTGTAAATAAAGCATTACCACATATGTGCATGTGTGTGTGTGTGTGTGTGTGTGTGTGTGTGTGTGTGTGTGTGTGCACTCACCTAGTTGAGATTGCAGGGGTCGAGTCCAAGCTCCTGTGTGTGTGTGTGTGTGTGTTTGTGTGTGCGTGTGTATGTGTATGAGTGTGCGTGTGTGTGTGTGTGTGTATGAGTTTGTGTGTGTGTGTTTATGTGTGTGTGTGTGTGTGTGTGTGTGTGTGTGTGTGTGTGTGTGTGTGTGTGTGTGTGTGTGTGTGTGTGTGTGACTCAACAATCAATATTTGCACCAATAACTCACTACAGTTGTGACCGGGTGTGGAAGTGTGAATTGCTCATTACTCTAAAATTTGTTCATGATTGTAGCCATGTATAAACGCAAGTAATCATTCTTACAGTATTCATTACCTTTGTAACTTGTGAGTTCATTACCTTGTACCTAGTTCAGCCATCAAAACTTTGGGGCCCTGTCCCAGGACCCATTGTGTACCTCTATAATCTGTTAATACCTTTGTAACTTGTCATGATTGTGACTAGACCTACCTGGAGTTCATTACCTTTGTAAATTGTGAATTCATTACCTCTGTAACTTGCTCAGCCATCAAAACTTTGAGGCCCAGTCCCTGGACCCATTATGTACCTCTGTAATCTTTTGACTACTGCCCACAGGATGGGTATGGGGTGCATAATAAACATATTAAACTTAAAACCATTATAATATGCTCCTCACTTAGCGACGAATTTGTTTAACAACATGATCTCAGGAACGGAACTCTGTTGTTAAGTGAGGAGAGGCTGTATTGTAATAATTGTATAAATAATATCAGCACATTCGTGAACACTTGTTAGACCCACCAGTTGGACATGTATTGAACGAGTGACGTGATTTGCTTGCTCCTGAGTATTGACAAAAATTTAACTTTTCCACTTCCTTGAGCTCAATTTCAAACTATTTTCATACCTGAACGCAGTCAAAAATGACTTATTTCTGTTAATATATCTTCCATTCTATAAAATGACCAGAAAAGTAAAAAAAACCATAAAGACATACAAAAACACCCATTCTCTTGTCCAGGCCAGAAATAACCACCGGCACATTATCTGATTACTGAGCTGGACAGTGACCTCAAACCCCTATATGGCACAGATGAGAGAGTGGTTAAAATAGTAAATGAAATTATCAGAAAACTGATATATTACTGTTTAATTATTATTTTTACTATAATAAGTGAGTGTGTAAAAGGAGAGCAAACAATAGAGTGGGAGAGGCACTGTCAAAAAATTTTGCTGAAAATAAGAAAAACTTTTGGAGTGAGAAACAAGTTAAGAAAGCCTAGGAATGATAAGTTAAGAAAGCCTAGGGAATGCATAGATTTGTCAGTAAAACAGAGTAGGAGAGTTAGTTGGTGGGGAACTGGAGGTATTGGGTAGATGGCAAGAATATTTTGAGGAACTTAAATATTGATGAAGAAAGGGAGGTGGTAATATCATACACTGGCCAAAGGGGTACAGTGGAACTCTGGTTTTCGCATGCTCCAGTTATTGGATGATTCAGTTTTAGAATCATTTTTTGTACAAAATCTTGCTCCGGATATCGGACCTTAATCCCGAAAGGATGTATTAAACGCGTCCGCCTGGGCCGTTCATACATTTGTGACTCACTCGTGGGCACATTAAGTGTCTTGTTTAACGTTAATATAGACATTTTTCATTAATCCATCTATGATGTTTTCTTCAAAATTATATAAGAAGCACGTTATATAGCATAGTATAAGCATGCAGTGTATATTTAAAAATAATCACTCTTGGGCACATTAAATGTCTTATTTTACTTTAACATCGACATTTTCATTGATCTATCATTTATATTTTCTTCAAAATTATTTAAGAAACACGTTACATAGCATTATATAAACATGCAGTGTTTATATTCCATCAAAGGATGGTAGTTGGTTTTCTCTCTTTCTCTGGTCGAGCATTAGAGAAAACTGAATGAATCTGCATCTGGCGTTTGTTTATAATTCTCGGAATGAATTATTCATTGCTTCTCCCTTTGTTTATGATGGCATCTAAAGGTAGTTGTTAGAAATGATTAAACTCGGTAAACAAAGTATATTGATGGTAATAATGGGGCTCTGGGGCACATTAAATATGTAGCTATGTAGGTATGTATGTAGCCCAGGCTACCTACCACTTACCTACCTCTGCCAGCTACCTACATGTGCTGGGTACCTACATCTACTGGCTACTTAGTAAGTAATTAAAGTTTATTCAGGTATACACAAATAGTTGCATAGATTATCATACATATCAGCATATGTGTAGAGATCCTAGGATAACCCAGAAAAGTCACACAGTGACTTCCTACAAAAAAGTACTACTCGCCTCTCGCTCTACATTAAGACTACAAATATTTTAAGGTAAGTAATGAATGTGGAAGAGTTGGTGGATGACCACAGGGAAGAGCTAACCACGGAAGAGTTGCAACACTATAGTTAATTTTTAAAAAGATTATTTTTTGTTGTAATTTTTGGGTGTCTGGAACAGATTAATTGTATTTACTTTATTTCTTATGGGAAATATTGATTCAGTTTTCACACGTTTCAGTATTAGAACAGCCTTCAGGAACGGATTAAGTTCGAAAACCAGGGTTCCACTCTGTAGCATCTTTTAGGAGTGAAGAAGAGCAGGATGTGAGTGTGGGGGAGATGTATGAGGTATTACGTAGAATGAAACTGAGTAAAGCAGCTGGAACTGATGGGTTCACAACAGGGATGTTAAAAGCAGAGGAGGATAGTGTTGGAGTGGTTGGTGTTTTTGTTTAATAAATGTATGATTTCCAGCATGCATGCGTGAACATGTTAGACAGGAGTGAATGGAGACGAATGGTTTTTGGGACCTGATGAGCTGTTGGAGTGTGAGCAGGGTAATGTTTTGTGAAGGGTTTTAGAGAAACCGGTTAGACGAACTCGAGTCCTGGAAATGGGAAGTACAATGCCTGCACTTTAAAGGAGGGGTTTGGGATATTGGCAGTTTGGAGAGACTTTTAAACTGTCATATCGGAGCACCTCTGCAAAGACAGCGATTATGTACGAGTGTTGGTGAAAGTGTTGAATGATGAAAGTTTTTTCTTTTTAGGCTTTTCTTTCTTTTTTGGTCACTTTGCCTCGGTGGGAAATGGCTGACATGTTAAAAAAAAAAATGTATGAAAGAAGGGAAGGTACCTAGAGATTGTCGTACATAGTTCCCTTATATAAAGGGAAGGGGGACAAAAGAGATTGTAAAAATACAGGAGAATAAGTTTACTGTGTATACCA